GATTACTGAATCGATCATCGTGTCGACGGCCTTTCTGCACCGCACTTAAAATGCCGATGATTAATTTGTCAACGGCTTACGCATCGCAAGGTGTTCAAATGAATCAATGTTCAAGATCAAAGTCGGTGTGACGGAAACGCCAATTCGGCTTGCTCTTTTATCACTAAATAATTCGATAATTAGCTTCTCTCTCGTATCATTTATAACGCTCGGTGGATATTTTCTTTGCTGCCAAGGATTCCTACGAGATGGTACCCAATGCTGTTAATTAGCGCCTTCTCTAATGCAGGATCTGTCGCAATGGCGCTGCAGAAATAGGGTATTTATCCATAGGATCTATACGTGTTATAAGAGAGAATAGAAATGGGCTTAGATCGCGTCTAATATTCTCTTTGTCACTTAGGAAGGCGCCACGTTGCTTCGAGGCTGATCGAGTAGATATCAGTCATTGAGGGACCTAGTCACAAGGCGGTAAACCTTTCTCCCACGTTCTAATCTTTTTAGTGAACTTGGAACCCTTGCCTCTGCGTGACAAATCCTACACATATAAATATATATGTATGTGTGTATATATGTATATATGTATATATGTAGATACATATGTATATATGTAGATTCATATGTGTGTATATATGCATATATGTATGTGTGCATATATATATATATGTATATATATATATATATATATGGGACTCGTGTACCGCAACGGTTAGAGGAGCCCTGCAATACACATGAGACCGATCCCAGCGCACCACGCTCACCAAGCCTTCCAATCCTCCGGGGTCGGCAAGTTGGTAGCGGACTTGTCTGGCAGGATGACAACACTGGCTCGATACATCAGTGGTTCACCGCGAGTCATTTAAAGACCTTATATGTCTTCAATCTCCTTTTACGATGTTTAATAAAGTTAAATGCACGGAGTATCTCTCAGGAATGGATCGACGCCAAGAGCTTTATCCTTTTATACACACGCATATATATTCATATTACGTAAATATATGTATATATATGCGTATTTATAAAAGGATAAAGCTCTCGGCGTCGATCAATTTCTGAGGAATACTCCATTCATTTAACTTTATTAAACATCGTAAAAGGAGATTGAAGACATGTAAGGTCTTTACAATATATATATATATATATACAAGTATATATATATGCATATATACTTATGCATGGTGGAACATTTGTAGTCGCTACTGCGATTCCTCGTATGGGTGAACAATTTAAATAAGTATTACGGCTAATGTGTAGATTCTTTGCATGCTCCTACTACACAGTTCGCTATAATCTATTTCAGAGAAAGGCTTGCTTCCACGGATGATGGTGGTATGGATGAGCGAGAGTGTGCCGAACTGTCTTTTAAGCACTGCACATGCGGGAAAACTTATCCAATTCACCATCACTAAAGATGTGCCAAAGTTTGCACCTTATCTACGAACGAGGTAAGACTGGAGTAAACTGGAAAGAGACTTCTAGGAGAAACCACTTAAAACAATCCAAATATGCAATGCAAATATCCATTGCAGTGAAAAGTTTTTTTGGAAAATAGGCAGAACGGAAAATGAGGAAGTTGAGTGTTGTTTTTTGTTTTTTTGCCTGAGAATTTTCGGATGAGCGCCCCCAAAAAGTTGTCAGCCTGATGGTTCATTTGTTTTTCTTGATGAGCAAAAAGGAGATTGTTACTACAACATTAATTAAATCACAACTGGGATACATTTCTCGCCCATGTGAGACTCTGTGCGGCTGCTCTCCACCGAACAACTGGATGACTTACAAAGAACAAAACGGCTCTGAAAAAGATCAAGCCGCTGAAAAATCAGCTATTGTGTATTAACAAGTGCTGTAATAACAAGTTCGTTTTGCCTCATCAAAAAACCGTGAATCATAGATTAATGCCGAGGTTAAAAGAAAGGCAGTCCTGGGATTTGCTGCAATGTGTTAGTTGCTTTCCTAATTTCAGCTGCTCTTTGCTGTCGATTTGTATTGGACGTTTCTTCTCGAAATTATCCAGAAAATATCCAAATCAATATAACGACTTGCATTTTCACACGTTCGATTCGCCAACGGTGAGAATGGAGACTGGTGATGTAAATGCTAGCGCCACTTTTGCGGTCGACTTCTACATTCATCCCAAGAAGCTCCAGTAATTTACCTATCATGGGTACACGTGTTCTCACACTTTATTAAGAGTTTTGCACTTTTCTATGTTTATACAACTATTTTTGTCACGTAATACTACACTATTACATTGGTTATCCGTTTTTTCTCTTTACTATGACCAACTGGAAATCTATTATGGTGGACCATCAGCCGAGGTCAAGAAGTGCGCTACGGCTAATTTATTAATCGCTTCTCATATTCGAAAAGCTTCCTCTTTCCAACATTCTGGAAAGGTGACGCATAAAAGCCATACGGCAAAAAACCTTTACAGGTTACTATTTTGGTAGCGACTTTCATTTTGCTTTTCCTTTTTCTTACAGCGTATATAAAGAGTGTTTATATTAAATGGCCTGGCGGAATTCGTTCATGGGACCGAGTTTGAAGCTAGGAACATGGTTATTTAGTTGTAAGAGCACTCAGGTTAACCAGGACAGGTTAACAACACAACGATCTCCGGTTGCTTGGCGTAGATCTCAGCTTAAATTTCTTTACAATAATTCTTCAGATTTCTTGCAATGTTCAAAGAGGTGTTCGCGATGACCGCCCATGTGATGACGCAAGCAATACTCCACAACGGGGTTCCCATTCCCATTTTTGATAACATCACCGTATCAAGTAAGTTTCACTGGACAACACTCACAATCTTAACCTTTTTATTCACTGCCATTTCTTTTAACGGCAGGATATGTTGCGAAATATAACTGCTATAATGCTGAGATATTTGCAAAACTCCGGACCGTAGGTGTCTGCGGTGAGGAACAAACGCGCTAGCTGAGAAACAGGCGAAACGAAGGACCCGCTTGATGTGGTGGTGAGCGCGTTACTCCCCGGAAAGGACAATAGCGCGTTCGTTCCCACCGCAGACACCTGCGGTCCGAAGCCTCGGATATATCTCAGCATTATAGTAGTTATATTTCGCAACACTAACAATATTCGGACTCGTCAAACAATCTCACTATGTGCGATAGTACGAGAAATGTGTGAGAAACATCAAACATTGACCGATTTTCTATTAACCTCGGCATTGATCAAGTGATTTTCTTCGTATTTTTGTTGAGCAAACGCGCGGTGTTACTATTCCTTGTTCACGATTAAGCTGACGTTTCGGCGGATTTCGCCTTCTTCAGAGCCTGGAAAGGTCAAGTTGATAGCAATCCACTCGGTCAGACGCCTCCATAACCAAACAAAGAAACCCCAAACCAAACCAAAAAAGCATTTTAAAAAAAAGCGTCTACGTGCCTAGTCGAAGCTAAGGCATACTGAGAACGATGCGCAGAGTTCTTGACCTCTAGAAGTCTCGTTGAAAATATACTACCAATGGAAACTGTCACGACCGTCACAGCTTCGTCGTTCATATGTACTTCAGGTTTTCTTCAATGATAGATTATTTATCAAGAATAACGGAAACAATTATAAGGTGAACTAGGACACTGTGTTTAAGCCAACAATTCTGCGGCACGCATATTCCCACTTATAAGGTGAATGGTCCTCCTAGATTGCGTCAACCTGTGATGATATTTGGCGTGCTCTGTTACTGACATTGCATAACATTACAGATATGCAAAAAAGTCAAGTTAATTAAGGCTGATAATCCGGAACTGTAGACGCTGCTTCGAATTATACAATAAGGCAGACAATGTCAGGAAACTACATAGGAACGGTGTAATAGCAGTATAAATAAACGCTCAACAATAAACGACGTTTGAAACGACATAGGACTTACGAAGAATCTCATCGCTATGCTACGCCATACAGAATTGCTCAACAACATTATGACGTCACAGATATGTATATGCATTCAAATATATGCGCAAGTGCGATGAATACAAGAAGCGCAGCTTTCCTGAAATAAAACTAACTAAGCTTCCTGTCTCTGACTTACAACAAAATGAAACGACTGAAGTATGCCAGAGTTTACAGCATGAAAAGAAGAATGATTGTGCCTTAATCAAAATTTCCGTCAGAACCATTTCATTCAATAGCTGAATATTCTGTTTTCAAGAGCCAAGCCAAATTAACTACGTCGCGTAGTTGTGTCATAGCACCGTAATGATAAACAGCCGTCGCTGCTCGAGGTTT